AGCTGTGATATCCACCATGTCGCATTTGACCCAGGCGGATGTGCCTATGCTTCAGTCGGTTAAACTCCACACTACGGGAGATTACGTCCAATGGGGCGCATTGGGATTTCTTCGCAGCCCCGCCATTTACTCCGTGAACATCTCTGAAAGGAGTCTTATCCCCTCGAAATTACCACTCCGCTGGGAACGGTTGACGGCCCTGTCATTGATCCCGGAAGGGTGGGACGCAGCGATGAGAAGTGACACGTCCCTCAAGCTGTTGTCGCAGTGCCCTCACCTACGGATTTGCAGACTCGTTGTGACTGACAGTCCCAACAGTAGCAGCCCAGCCTGACAAGCCGCCCATTCTCGAGCTGTCCTTTCTTCATAGGCTGGACTTGAAGTGTGTTGGACCCAGACTGTCCTTGATCATCTTCCAGCTATTCAGCCAGCTCTCGTTGCCAGCAATTGCGGATTCTCAAACTTTCTGGGATTTTCGAGCCCGGCCGGCAAATACCTTTATCTTACTGGCCCGTTGCTGGCCGCGGCTCCACACCTCGAAAGGCTCGGCCTCGGTATTAAGAAGCTATACTCCAGGAGTGTTTTCGCTGAGCTCCTTCGCGGCCTCCCGCCAACCCTTCATCACCTGGAAGTCAGGAAGGAGCAGGAGAACATTCCAATCTACGATTCCGACACTTTGAATGACGAAATCTTCGAATCCCTCATTCCATCTTCCAACTTCCCCACCCCCTGTCCAGGCCTTCAGGTTCTGGAAATAACATACCCCTGCTCCGTTTCCGACGAAACACTACTGCGTTTCATCAACGCGCGGACGTTGAAGCGTGTAACAATACCATTTCAGCGAGCCAAGGGCCTCGACATTCATTCGGAACTGCGACCGTTGGTGCAGAGTGGGCTTCAGCTCGAACTCACATACTCTGCGCCTGTGTTCGGCTTCTCTCCTTGGGATGGCCTGGAGGATAGGCCGGACTTGGAATAGTTTTCAGGTGAAATATGATAAGGGTGTGTCCATACGCCGAATTCGGCATTTGAATCTTCAAAATTGATTGCATTTTTGTACGCCAGGGCCTCCAGCTTTACTTCGTTGTTTTGAATTTTAAACCAGTCCGCATCCGTTTAATACGCATCTGTCTCGCTGTTACTTTCGGAAGCGTGCCTTCGAGGACCGAAACTTGGGGCTCGATACAAGGTGACGTATACCGTATTTAATCGAGCCGCCAGCCAGAAGCAAAAAAAGGTCGTGCCAGCAAGCGCAGATATCGATCTAGCAGCTAGTACACTATCGCCTGGGACGAGAGATTTCACGCACATAGCCATACCACGCTTGTCGGATACTCACACGATACGCTGGTCTGGTCAAAGGGAAGCTCGCGTTGTGGGTAGCATACGATACGGATACGGAGGCCTAGGACAGTACGAGGAAACGTGTGTAGCGCGAAAATACCACTGATCGTGTGGGCTCGAGCACAGAGGATAACATCCGCAGCGATATTTAATTATGTACTGCGCGGGGACGACGAACAAGCCTCTACGAGGAGAAACACCACGAGAACAACCTAAGCGCTGGCGCCACGGGCACGAATCACAGCAGAACAATATATAGCCTGATATGCTCGCGCCGAATAGCAGGGGACGATATCACCGTCCATAACAAAGATCACTGACGCGCGGTGGAAACAGGCCAGTATCCGAGGCTCAGTACTCGCTGTCTCGCAGTGCGCTCACCGCGCCCATCCAGTCGGGGGTTAGGCGCCTGGGACGGAGGCCTGCGTACGCGGCTCCATGACCAGGAAGGCGGAGACAGACATCGCGAAGCATCGCCCAGCAAACCGACACCGTGCAGGGGAAACCCATAATAACGACCCGCCGCGGAACGCATACGCGGGGTTCTCGTCGAATCGCGAGACACCCGCACGTTTGCCCGCGCGCATAGCACTGCATCTCCGCCTACCACCCAGCACTGCACCACCCGGCATCTCCGCTCGCGAGGATTACCGCAGCGTCGCCGGTCAGGCGCACATCACCACACGCCAGCTGGACAGCGATGCCTAGCTCCATCCACATCGAGCAGCGCATGACCGCCGGCTCCCGTGGGGCATGGCAAACGAGCCGCTGCGCACACGGATCCAAACGACCTCCCCGCCTTACCCAGGCCTCCACACTCCACAGACTCGTACAGGCGGGGGAGTGATCCCGCGGACGACAGGGAGAAGGTGGGGAGGACGGCTGGTGGCATGAAGGTGGGGAGCTCGCCTGTCGGCTGCAACATCATAAACACGACCAGATGCAGACTCGCACGGATTACCGGCGTCCGCCCCAACACAGCCCATACAGGTAGATCAACACCACGAACGCAACACCCGACGGTCCAGCGCACATGAAGCCGAAGTCGAGAGCACGCACACAAGGCGGCTCAGCCAGCCATGGCGCAGGGCAACAACGCGCGGCGCGGAGAAAACGGGAAACGAAAGAAGAAAACTATAGTGCGCAAAGGAAGGGACGATCAGGTTCGAGGAAGTCTCAGCAGGGAGAAAGAAAGACACGGAGAGAGCGAGGTCTCTTCCCACCCATGACCCACTCCATCCGGGCGCGAGCACTCCGGCGTGGGGGGGGGGGGGCAGGTAGCGCGGGGAGGCGCCCGGAGGCACAGGCAGGCGCGGTGGTGCTCGAGCCGCGTGGGCTCCAGTTGTTGACCGATGCACCGGCGCGCAAAGGAAAGGAGGTGCAGGCGGTCCAGGCGCAACAAAGACTGGAAGCAGAGAAAGAAAGAGATGGAGGGAGCAAGCTCTCCTCCCACCCATAATCCACCGCCTCCGGGCACGAGCGGCGTAGAGGGCCTGCAGGTAACAAGGTCCCGAGGCGCAGGCAGCGCGGCCGTGCTTGAGTTTCGTGGCGGTGCAGTCGTGCGCGGTCAGCACGGCCAGGCTCCTCTCCGTGGCGTCCCCAAGGTGTGCGGACGCGGGCGCGGGGTACGCTTCCACTCGCACTTCCTCGAGTCTCCCTCCCTTCGACGCGGTGGAGCTAGGCCCGGGGTCTCTGCTATACTCTCCGAATACCGCTGCTGCGAGAACAAGCGCCTCCCTCCCGGAGTTCGAGACACAGACGTGCGCGGAACCCCCGAATCAACGACACGAGAACTCTCCCTGGCGCCCGCTGCCCCGCACTCGCGCCGACAGGGGCGCGCTTGAGCAGTGCACTTGGCACCTGGTCTGGGGGTGCTCTGGATTCTTTCCTGCTCTAGGCCCCGGGAAGCGGGGACCCAATCGCGGTCCGCCAGTCGGGGCCGCACGCGCTCACTCATCTGGTGCGCTTTTGGTACGTCAAGCGGCGCGTGCGTTTGAGGTGCAGGCGGAGCGGAAGGCAAAACTCGAGTTGGGTGAGTAATGCCAGAACGGGGCGGGGGCGACGCAGACTCCTGAGCTGTGCCGAGCGCGAAGGCGGTGTGGTGTGCGGACGTTGTGCGGCAGGCGTGCATGGTCTTCACGAACGAGGGCGACATGTAGATGTGGCGCGCGCAAGGCGGGAGCAGGGCCACGAGGGACGGGTGGGAGGCCCGTTTCCACTTGTACGGGACTGGGACTTCTCGCCTGTACGCTAATAGCCCGCTGCGTTTACTGGAAGACCAAGGCTGGCGCAACCTGGCACACCTGGGATGACGGGCCGAGATTCTGCGTGGGGAACATCGACGGTGCGGTACCGCTGTAAAGGCAAGCAATACTGTTAGCATTGGAACGGCCAGGGACGCCGAAGACTCACGCCCATTGATCTGCACGGAGTCGGAGCTCGAGGCAGGGGCGTAGAATACACCACTGTCAGGCTCAATCTCCCCAGGCCCAGTCTCTTCTCAGTGCGAGTAGTTCGTTCTCAGGTCGGTGCGGCTAGGCTATGGCCTCCTACGCCAATGCCAAGGCAGGTATATACTCGAGGCTACTCGAGGACCGAGGTCGTCTGTGGCTGTTTTGGGGGTTACGGTGCCCTCGCGTTGCGGCGGGCTGTTTGCGGCAGCGGATGCATCCTGGGTAATCTTTGGGACACAAGAGTCGCGGCGGGCGCTGAGAAAAGGTTGAGACTCGGAAAAGCGCAAGCGCCCATGGTCAAGTCACGATGTCACAGCGCTAAACCGTGACGCCTCACCTCCTTGACTCACTCCTTGCTCACTCTTGCTGCCACTTGTCGCGGTATCTGGTCCCCCGCAGCTCACACAACGTATCTCGCATCTCGTTTTTCACAGAGTGTCCAAAGATATATTTTTCAGCGTTTTTCGCAGCACCGTTTCGGCTCAGGCGTTCTTGACACTTGTCACTTGGCGCTCCATCAGCTTTCGGCATGTCCACTGTTCAATACGGCAAGTACAATTTCCACAAAAAAGTCCACACAAGCTCTTTATCGACGCCGAGTCTGCGCTCGCGGCTCCAAGCCATCTCAGGCTCTCGCTCTCCCCCCATCTCTCTTATACAACCTGGCTTCGCCTTATCAGTATATATCTCCCGACTCGATCCGCACTGCGCAGTCACTCCCGAACTCTAATCCTCGCCGGCGTTCCGTCAAACCTTTGAGGCACATATCGACATTCCTACTAAGATATTTCTCTCTCCATCCTGTTTGAAATTCTGTCTGCGCACGAGTTCTCGGATTGTATCTCTTGTGCGCCTCCTCAAATCGGTATCCACCCACGTCATTTCTTAATTTCGCCGGCGCCGACCTCTCGCGATGTATGCGATTCTCGCACGTTCAACTTGAAATTCCCTGAGCTCTCCTGGGCACATCTCGTCTCGGCCTCGTTCTCAAACATCGCTTCCCGCTACTTAATTTATCTCCCTTTGAGAGCGCTACAACTACATCGATTCCTCTCCAAATTGTTGTGTCCGCCATAGAATACAAACTGAATCCATTTGCGCCCGATGAGCTCGTCCCAGGTTCGGACGAATTCAATTTTCAACTTATATACTGCACGTCTGAGCGGTGTTCAACCAGACATCAATCCACCTTCCTAGAACATCGGCCTGGTGGTGTAACGGTAACACGCCTGCTCGCATTGTTCCCATGATCCACTTCTATCTACCTAGCTACTTGATTTGTCAGAAATTCCTTGTTCGACTCAAGATCAGGCTCTATCTCTCCTGTTCTGAATTTTTTATTCCTTTCTGTTCTACAGTATTCACCCATCTATTAACCTTGGGGAGCTCGGAAAAAAACGGCTTGATGGTATAGCGGGAACACAGCTGTTCAATATCTGAAGGACCAATGAATTACAACAGGAGTCCATTGTTCGATTCAAGGTCAAGCCATCATAAGTTTCTTTTTCTTTTCTTTTCAAGCGAGTTTGGAAGACTTGAGGAGAGTCGAGGACCGGCTTGCTCCTCTACCGGTCTCCTGCCCGTCCACGGCTACCTCTCAGATCCCCACAATTAATACCCGCATACTTACTGACTCGATTTCGCAGTTCGAACGTGACTAGCTTGCGTTGGGTTCTCACTTAAGTTCAACTGGGATTCCTCAACGTATGTTTTCTACGTATTTTCATTGTTCCATCTCCAAATTCCCACAGTAAATTCCCGCTTCCTTCTTTTTTCGAATATACAGGACTCGAAGCGTCTGTGCCCGACGAAGTTGTGATTAGTGGATGTGCTCCTTGCTACTTTGCCCCGTTAATCTTCTAAGGAGGTTTTGTTCTAACTAGTTCATAGTGTTTTATTCTTGTCTTGGTTCTGGATCTGATTCAGATCTACAGGCGCGCGCCATCACTTCACCTGACCGTGTTTGTGGCAGCCGCACTGCCTCACCCCAGTTCTATGTCGTCGCCTTCCATCTCACAGCAAAGGACCCATTATTGTCCGAATGGCGAGGACGTCGCGGAGTTCCAAACACTTCTCGTCAGGCCCACCCTTCGAATGCAGCCTCTTGACGATGACATCGCTGGTTTGCCGATTAGAGCATACATGGACGCCCACACGACCCTCATTTCGCCGGTACAACGAGTACCGCTCGAGATCACCCAAGAAATTTTCGCAGCCTGCCTCCCAGAGCACCGCAGCTGTATTATGAACACCAGGGAGGCGCCCATCCTGCTTGGGTGCATTTGCAGCTCCTGGAGAACCATTTCCCTCTCGACACCCCGCTTGTGGTCAAAGCTACATATCGTGCAGCCCGCTTACTCCATTTACCACCCCCTTCCGCTGTTCCAGGACCAGCTAGCGCGGCGGCTTGCAGGCACGAAAATCTGGCTGAGTCGCTCCGCCCTGTGTCCCCTGACCATATCGCTGAAATGCGCGTTCCACGGGACCGCCCTCAACGAGTCAGCCACCCAAATCCTGCAGGCCTTGTTGCCCTTCGCATCGCGATGGGAAAACATCACTTTCACAACCTACGCTGCAAGCCTAGAGACCATGTCGCATCTTACGGAGGCGGATGTGCCGATGCTCAAGTCATTCAGCATCCATACACCTGCCGAAGCCATCGTCCCATGGCACGCACTGGGATTCCTTAGCGCCGCCGCCATCCACTCGTTTCACGTTACGGGGGGAACCGGTTTCAACCGGGCCCTGGAATTGCCGCTCCGCTGGAGCCATTTAGCACACCTCTCAATCAACGAGGAAGGATGGAAGTCAGAGAGCACCCTCACAAGCAAGGTAGCCCTGCGGATGCTCTCTCGTTGCCCGCAGCTGCGTTGCTGTCGGCTCATTGTTCATTTTGCTCCCGACGCTCACGGTGCAGTGGAAGAGCCTATTCTAAAGCTCTCCTTTCTTCATACTTTGGACCTAGAATTCGTCGGGACTCTTCCTTCGACAGTTCGCCATCTATTCAGTCGTCTCACTCCCACAATTGCGGAATTTAAAACTCTGTGGTCCATCGTATAGCGACAACACCTCCTATGCCCCATTCCTCGCCGTCGCCGCTCCGCGCATCGAAACCTTTGATATCAACATTGAACTGTTCTCCAATTCCTCGCTCGCGGATCTCCTTCGCGAGCTACCAACCATTCGCAACCTCGAGATCAGTAAGATTCCCGACCGCTCCCCAGCCTACGACGACGAGCTCTTCGATGACGGGATTCTACGATCCCTCGTAGAATCCCTAATTCCATCCCCCGACGTCCCCATCCCCTGTTGCCCTAACCTACAAGCACTGAAAATGAATTACCGGTGCTGTTCCTTATCCGACGAAGCTCTTCTGCGGTTCATTAAATCGCGGGCGCTGAAACGTGTTGTGATCTGCTTTAACCGTCCTATGGAGCTTGACATCTATCCGGAACTGGAGACGTTGCTGCAGAGTGGGCTTCATCTCGATCTTGCATACCTTCCGCCCAGGGAAGGCCTGGACTCGGAGGTCCCAAGGGACTTCGAAGATCCATGACTCTGTACCGCTCCTGGTGTACATATTTTATAAAAAGAATTCCGTGGTTCAAAGTTGGTAAAGGCGCCAACGGATATCTAGTCAGGATCGGCAGCCCTTGTTGAGGTATTTCCGTGCCCCCACCCTCGCGCGGTGTTCCGACATTCGGCGTGAACCACTAGTAGTTGAAACGGACACACGACTAGAATCGGAAGCGCACCTACGCGAACAGCTATCAATTCGTGTGATGGCGGCACTGCCTCATCAACCACCATGTCTTCTTCGTTCATCTCAAGGCTAGGGACCAATTACTGGCCTCAGGACAAGGAACTAACAGAGATCGGAACTCTTCTCACTGAATCCACTCAGGCAGTGAAGCATTTGGACGACCAAATCACCCGTTTGCAGAAGCTAGTCGATGAACGTGCCAAGCTCAGTGACTACATGGACGCTCACAGGGCTCTCCTTTCGCCGGCTCGAAGATTGCCAGTCGACATCATTGAAAGGATCTTCATGGACTGCCTCCCAACGCATCGCAACTGCGTTATGAGTGCCGCGGAGGCTCCTGTCCTCCTTGGCCGCATCTGTAGCTCGAGGCGAACCATATGCCTATCGACACCCTACCTCTGGTCGAGGGTTCACATCGTGGAGCCCAGCATCTGCCTTTCCGCCCGTTATCTATACGTTGAAAAGCTGATGGAGAGACTCGAGACCACCAGGATGTGGCTCGAACGATCTGGCCAGTGTCCCCTCTCTATATCCTTACAGGCCTCCTACCTTAATACCAGCTCTTATTTGGGCACCGACGACGAACTTATCAAGGCTCTGCTTCCATTCACACTGCGTTGGGAGCACATCACTTTCACTGTCCCACCTTCATGTCTCGTGGCCATAGCGCACCTTACCACAGTGGATGTGCCTATGCTCAAGTCGGTTAGCATCCACCAGACTTGGGGAAACGAGGACGTCCCATGGGATTCAATTGGTTTCACTCGTGGTCCCAACGCGGTCCAGTATTCTTTTCCTTTCGCATTCGCGGAGGGAATTTCAGACCCCTGGAATTACCACTTCGGTGGGATGGGCTAACAGACCTATCGATCACGGCAGAGTGGGGCCAAAAGTTGCTCACAGGTCCCATGTCCCTGCAGATACTCTTCCAGTGCCCTCAGCTGCGCAGTTGCCAGCTCTACCTTTTTGCCGATCACGTACAGCGGAGTCGGAGAGCCCCTCATCGAGCTCTCTGTTCTTCGCTGGACTTAGAGTGGGAGTACAACCCTTTAATAACCGTTCGCCCACTCCTCCACCAGCTGTCGCTGCCACAATTGCGGAATTTGAAACTGAGTGGAAAACGGGAAATCCACAACTCCATCTCCTATCTCCCCTTCTTCACCACCGCTTCGCGTATCGAAAGCATCGCAATCGACTCTGACTTATTTTCCAAGGCGTCCCTGATCGATTTTCTTCGCGGGCTACCCCCCACTCTCTGCGAAATACTGTACAGTTCACCCAATACGAGAAGTATTACGAAGGAGAGATTTTCGACGACGAGCTCCTAGAACTTCTCATCTCATCTCCCAACTCTCCCACTCCGCATTGCCCAGACCTACAGGCCCTGGAAATAAAACCCATCTGCGCCATTTCCGACGACGCAGTCGTTAATTTCATCAAATCGCGGACGATGAAGCATGTTGCACTGGCCTTGAACCGGCCCAAGGAGCGCAATATTCATTCGGAACTTCAGCCGTTGCTGGGGCTCCGCTTTGAGCTCACCCATATGTCGGTTGACCTTTCTCCTTGGAGCGGCCTGGCGGATGCGCCGAAATTCATTCAAGCTCCCTGGGTGTCTGCGTCTCATGTCGGCGGAAGATATTTTTATTGATAAAGGTGCGTTGAGTTTCACGTCGAGAATCGAAACTGACCGCATTCCTTGTAGAACAGGCTCATCTAGTCCGTTGTTTCCTGGGGGTTGTCGCCTTATTAGTTTGTCAACGCACGATGTCCTGATCAGGCCGTAATATCATGCGTGTTCAATCACCGTAGGGTTCATAACACTTTACCATTACCATTTCGTAATGAGACAAAGGCATTCGCCCATGACTTCAAACCGTGCTTGCTAGCTCGATGTCTCTCCCCAATAATGGGAAAAATCGGGATTCGGCGGATTAGTCGGTTCAACACGCCCACATTCTCTAAGCTGCATATTTGCTGACTCAATGAACTGATCGCTCTGTGCAATTATTAACCCCAAGATATGTCTAGAGGGTGGATCTTGGAGAACTCAACTCATATTAATCACGTGGTTATAGTTGAATTCGACAATTTATCCACGGCTGGCGACAGTGGTTTCAAAGCATAGTAAGATTGAGCTGAAATTGGTGAGTGTTGCTTCTCTAAGCTAGGAGAAACGGTATATTTGGAACAAGCGATACACGGATGAAGGAAGGCCAATCCAACCAGGTCAACGTTTGAAGGTCGGGACGCACACGAACTGTGGCAGAAGAACTATGTAGAGCAAATTGCAATTAGCAGACATGATGCAGCAAAGAGCTGAGTACGTTTCTCCAGATCTCTAACTGCTCGGCGCTTGATCAAACCGATTCAAATTTAGGTTAGACGCCCATACTGACAGCACGACGTTAGCGCGGGGTCTTGTACTTTCTCTTAGATTCCATGGCCCCCTCCCACAGTCCTTCCATCCGCCTCATAAACAGAGCCGATCCTCCTCGATGCCCTCTCCCAGCCGTACTTGGGCCAGCCAAACAAGCTGCTTGCTTCTCGATCTGCGATGAGCATCTTGAAATCGATAGCACATCAGCTTTGCGATATTTCGCGCCGCCGCCCCTGGGGGCCAACTTGCGCGATGGCGTGGAGCAGTTTATGGAACGCCCGTTGGAGGATCGTGCTTTCCAGTATGCACGGCGTCTCGATACTGTCTTTACGACATGTCTCCATTCGGAAAATAGCGAAGAACTGTTGAAGGCCGAGGTGGTGACCTGGCGAGGCATCATGACGAAGTATCGTCCTTATTAAATTTGAGCGCAAGAGACTAAATTTGTTGCATCAGGATTATGCTCGGATACACACTAGATCTCAATATTTCGTACCATAAGGGAGTCCTCTACTTGGAAGAGCACAGAGAAGGGGAGAAGTTTGAGTAAGCCTCCCCCGGCCCCATAATTTCCTTGTCTCACTTTTGCGCGGTAGCCAAGACAGTGAGCGCACATTCGTGGGGTATATTTTTATAGGAAACACCAACGTCCATGAGTGCTGACTGTCGAGCGATTGGGCACAAGTTTGAAGCAATTTGTACAACCTCAACACCAGGCGGCGAGCGATCGGATGGAACTGACGTGGATCTGCACACCTTGTGGAATACGGCGATTACCCGGACTTTAGGTTCCCTGAGAATCCTGCTGGTGGGCGAGGTTGACTGTGTCAAACGTGGGTACATTTACTCTGGATTCGTGCCCGACTCAATCGAACTAGCCGGCTACTCAGAACATCCTGGCCCCGAACATTATGTGGAGCTCAAGACAAAGAAGAAAGAACGGTAAGTGACATCGAATTCATGCGTCGTCTGGTTTCATATCTGTCAGCAGAGTCTACAACATCGCTCACGCCAAATGGAACATGCAGTCTTATCTTCTTGACACTCCACAGATTTTTGTGGGCTTTCTGGATGGAGCAGACATTGTTCGAGATTTTGCAACATTTTCAGTGCAGCATATGGAGAGCCAGCAATATCGGATTGACTGGGGTGCGCGAGTTCTCCACAGCCTCAGGGCTCATTGTGCCCGCTCAGGAAACAACAAGGGAGTTCTGAAGGTTTGGCGTGTGCAGGCGAAGAAAAAAGAGGTTAGACTTTTGAACAAGGAAGGAGCGCCGCGGAATGGAATCATACCGGTCTCATTCATTCAGGAACTAGAGAGTAGAATGTCTGCTGTTTGAACCATAGAATATACTCGAACTTGTTTTGTCAGACGCTCGACACCTGAAAGCTCGCAATCCTAGGACCATTTCTAAGTGGACGACGTGGAAAAATGACACGAATAATTATGATTTCAATTCAAACTCGGTACGTGAGCATTCAGTTAGACATCGAACCACCCTTTCGAGCATTGGCGTGGTGGTATACAGAGAGGTAAACCTGCTTTGCATGTGAAGTAGATCTGGACTGTTGAACAGGAGTCCCTTCACGAACCAAGGTCATTAGTCACTTTTTCACTCCCATAGAAACACCAAAATCTGTCTATGAATCAATCTGATTTGGGGTTGCCAAGAACATGACCTGGTGGTGTAGCGGTAACATCCCTGCTTTGTTTCAATATTTGTGAAAGATATATTTGGTGGGTCCTTGTTCAATTCAAGGCCAGATTATTCTTCGTCATATTCTTCTTTTTCCTTTAAAAAAAAAATCATAAATCTATTCACCTTGCGGTACGAGGTCTGCTTTAAGCTCCTGTTTTTTTGCACAGCTACGTTAGTAGGCGCTTTCCTCCCTCAATGCACTGAAACATAGTGTATGTATCCAGTAAATCCAGGCTACCTCCTAGGTTTTTTATCTTTCGATTTTTTATAGTCCACATGAATGAATCTGCTTCCTTCATTCCTTTTTTACGCTTCTCAGCACGACAAGACTCTGTGTGCAGCGTTGTACTTCGTGAAAATTAAATAAATTTCAACTTTTTATGACACGTGCCGTTTGCCGGCGATAACCGGTCTCGTGGAACCAAGGTTGGGAAAGTTGGGAACCTCACCAAGGACTTTTGTAGGCGACAAATTTTCAATTCTCCCCTTTGAATTCAAGCCAGACTATCCCATGAGCTATCGACGGCAAGTGCCTGTTCAACATCATGTCTATGCCAACCCCATCACGGTTGGTAGGTGCGACGAAACTTCCCAGTCTTCAGCCCTTCGAGCGGAACGCTTGACATCACGCAAATTCGCTTGCATCCTGACGAACGCCTCAAGACCATGAGAATTCGAATGCCGGGACTCGGATCATCGGCTTCGTCACCGGCCCAAATAGCAGTGCAGCACCGCACCAAGCTCCGTCGTCTACCCGCATTGACAGATCCTGAAAATCCTTAGCTTCATCCGCAGCCGCAGCCGCAGCTTTCAGAATTCAATCGAGGGCGTCTCGGGCTGGAGTCATACTGGCGGTGCAACCTCGGGCTGCCGCACAGGCCAGTGTTGGGCAAGTAAACTGGAATTTCTGGTGATTTTAGGCTTCTGCAGCAATTGTGAGCCACAAGGCCAAAACTCTTCACGCGTCGCTTCAACGGCGGGGGTTTTCGCTTTAATCCTGGTCATCATGTCAACTTGCGTTTGTTGAGCTCCACCACTTGCTCCGACACAGTTTACCTCAAGGCGCCGCCCTCAAACATTGAATGCACTGCGTGAATCTTTGCTGTTCAGTTCTGCATGATTGCTAACATCTTGTCCGACGAGTTCCGGATCAGCGCAGCGGTATATGTACTTACCACTTGAGGATTCTCGCTGGCGCTGACAGTTTCGTGATGGGCAGTGTAATCACTATATTGACGAGCAACTTCAAGCTTGCCACAATTTTTATTTGGGTAGGTTGTGGTATTTTTTCACTTTGCTGCTGCACATGGTAACAGAGCCGGTATGATATCTGTTCAGTCGTGCTGCGCAACTCTGGTATAAAAGGCGGCGGTGGATGTCTGTGAATGTCATTCTCTCTTCTCTGACCTGGTGTCTAGCCTCTTCCATTCTTTTCTTGCCAATTTATATTCCACTAACTACTCCGTTCAACATTCCAATGGCTCGCATTTCTTCCATTCTTTTCTCTCTCTGCATCGTCGCATGCGTAGCTGCAGGCAAGTCCTATGCTCATTCTCAAAGCCACAAATACTTACCATGCCAAATTTCCCAGCCCCACTGCACCGACGCCAGACCGGAGACCTCCAGTGCAATCTTGCACGTCTCAAGATTATTTCGGACGTCGCTGCTACTGAAACACTGATAGGCCAACTCAACACGACGTATGTCCCGCTCCGGATATCCCTTGCCCGGGGCTGAATCTAGAATTTAGCGAGCTCTCAACTGCTAGCGCTGTGGCCGTGGCACAAGCGGGACTGAAGAGTGTCGATGCGGGAATCCAAACCATCCTTACCGCTGTTTTTAGCGGGCAGACCGCCCCAGCCAGTTCCCGCGATCAAGTCGGAACCGGGTTGGCGACCGCCCAGCAGGCGCTCAGTTTGATCACGGAGTGAGTACCTATCTGCATTTCATGTAGAGCAGCTAATGAAGTATGTCTGTCAGCCCCAGTGCCAATGCTACAGTCACTCAGGCGCAAGCCAAGCTCGCCAGTGCTATCATGGATGGTAACAATGTCGTCTCGGAATGTAAATAAGTTTTGTGGACGTAGCAATTTGTTAAGCTTTTACAAAGCTGAGCTTCGACTTGAAAAAATGCCCATGATAAATAAGCCTGTAGCCGGGCAAGCCATGCCATACTCTCGCCGACCCAAAAGACAGCTGGCTCAGCGGTCACCGCTCAGGTGTCTTGAACTTCCTATCAAGTCACCAGCCCTTCCTCGCGTAAAATTCATCCGGTTATTTCTTAGTACTCTGTCTTCCCTGCTACAGACCATTGCTTGTTGTTATACGTTCGCAGTTGGACCTTCGAATTGGTTCAGATTTGCACCGATAGCCCCATCATTGCACAGTGCATTGATTGCATTATTGCATTTGCATCAACGCGACCCAAGCATGTAACGTGATCGTGTTGACAGCAGCAGCTGCACTGCCACCGCGTGACACCTCAGTTCGAGTAATATCATCTCCCTTCGCCTCAAAGCTAGGGACCAACTATTGCCCACCGGACGATGAGATAGCAGAGATCAAAACCTTTCTCGCTGACCCCATCCTTTGGTTGAAGCATCTCGACGAAGAGATCGCAGACTATCGCAGATTGATTTGCAGAAGGCGCTCGACAAATTGGTAAACCACCGCGCCAGACTCAGTACCTACGTGGACGGCCACACGGCACTCATTTCCCCAGCTCGACACTTGCCGCTCGACATAATCCAAGAAATCTTCGTCGCATGCCTTCCGACGCACCGCAACTGCGTCATGAGCGCCGTGGAGGCACCCGTCCTCTTAGGCCGGATATGCAGCTCCTGGCGAATCATTTCCCTCTCGATGCCGCGCCTGTGGTCAAGATTTCATATTGTGGAGCCGTCTTGCCCTTATTACTGCCCAGTTTCGATGTTTGACCAAAAGCGGGCGCAGCGACTCGAAACCACCAAGCTCTGGCTCAGTCGTTCCGGCCAATGCCCCTTGTCCCTATCGCTGCAATGTGCTTTCAGCAGCAGTAGCTTCACTGAATCAGACATTCAAATCCTCGAGCTCCTCCTTCCATTCGCATCGCGCTGGGAACATATCGCTTTCACCATCCACCCCTCAGTTCTGGCGGCCATGTCGCACTTGACCGAGGCAGATGTGTCTATACTCAAGTCGGTCGAGCTCCGCGTAGCCGCTGGGTATCATAGAGATTCGTTGGCTCTTCTTCGCGGCAAGGACATTTCCTCCGTTTTCATCATCGGAGCCGATCTCATCCCCTTAGAATTGCCCCTTCGCTGGAACCGATTAACAGATCTTTCCGTCCGTGAGAGAGGATGGGGCGGCACCATGACAATGGAGACAGCCTTGCAGGTCTTCTCTCGGTGCCCTCAGCTCCGGACTTGCGGGTTCGTTGTTCATGACGGTCTAGACACCAATACCACAGGCGGAGAGCCAGGGCCCATCCTCGAGCTCTCGTTTCTTTATACATTTGACTTAGAGTGTGCTTGCACTCTTCCTTCCATCTTTCGTAACTTATTCAGCCGCTTCTCATTCCCACAATTGCGGAATTTGAAACTTCACGGAAAATTCGATTATGACCCAGACACCAAATCTCTTGCGCTCTTGTTCGCTGCTGCCCCAGGCATCGAGTCTCGGGCTCAATATTACTAAGCTTTACTCAAAGCCGTCTCTTGCGGATTTCCTTCGCGCCCTATCGCCTACCATTCGTGACATAAAGATCAGCAAGATTCCCGAAGGAACCGGCGTTAATGATACCGAGCTTTTCGACGACGAGATTCTCGAAACCTGCATCCCATCCCCAGACTCCCCTATCTCATGTTGCCCCGGCCTCGAAGCGCTCAAAATAAATTTCCGGTGCTGTACCTTTTCCGACGAAGCCCTCCTGCGCTACATCAAGTCAAGGAAACCGAAGCGCATTGCAATCCGCTTTGCACGGGAAATGGAGTTCGACATCCGTCCGGTCTTGCAACCCTTCATGCAGAGTGGGCTTCATCTGGAAGTCTCATATTCTCCGCCTGAAGTGTTCAGCCTTTCTCCTTGGGCGGGTCTGGCGGATGCCCCCACTCGCAATTTCTACCAAGATCCCTGAGGGTTTCTGCCACATTGCGGTGAAGTGTTATACAACAGTATCTTGTAGGAGAAATTGATTTAAATGGATGACGGATGACGGTGAAAATGCGACGAGTAGCATTTTTGAATTTGGACTCCGAAACAGTTTCTCCTCGAACACCAATTTACAGCAAAAATAATCGATTCTACAGGTTTTCCGGTGCCACAAAGCTCGCACCCCTCACACACAGTTCATGCAGTTAGTGGTCCTCGTGTCTGTACAGCAGGCAATCTGTTCATTTGATCTCGAAGTTAGCGCTCGCTCGCAGAAATGAGAGACCTTACCACCCGACTTCGCAAGTCATCAATAACCTCTCGGAGAATGAATCCTTCGTCGCTGTTCTACGTGGTGGCATTCGGCGCTGAGTTTATGACTTATGAAATGAGCCGCAGAACATACAACTGGCCCTGCCGCCACGAGAGAGACGAACACCATCGCAAGAAGCACTGAAAATTTGGTGCTGAACATCTTTGGAGCTGAAGGTTGAGGGATTTATGGTAAGTACTGTGGTTCCTGAAGTTGCCAACGTCGCGACCTTCCATTTATATCAACCGATGTTCCATGTGAAGATTCATAGCGCCTGACATCCAATTAGACCGATGACCGTCTGTCTATAAGAACTGTCGATAGACAGACCGGTCGATCGGAGTTTGAAATCACGATACGTGCGCGATTCCAAAACGGGCTTATTTGTAAGCAGCGACCGTTCTTCATTCTCCCGGCTCAAATTGGGTCAGGTAAGAGTCTATGAGGCTCGGAGAGGCTTCAATGGCCTGATAGTCCGTGCTCGACCCAGAAAATTGATGTGTTCGGCTCTGAGGAATATTTTTACAAAAATTGTTGTTGTTAGGATTCGAACCCTCCCCGCTGAAAGCTTGCTTATAAATAAGCCGAATGCGGAATCGCGCGCGTATTGAGATTTCAAACTCCGATCG